TCATCAGTTTTTCTTTTCAAATAATAATACACTGAAATTGTGTGTGTGTGGAACAGCTGGGCTTGTCTCCCCAGAAAACATAGCAACATACTCACTACTTTTTGCACCTTGTATGCTGTACACGACATGTACGTGAACCACTCTTTTCTTTTTAGTTAACAGTTGTATTGTTTGTTTTAGGCCATTGTAATGGTTTTGGAGTCAACTGGGGAAAAGACATTTAAAATGATACTGGATTTGCTGAAATCTCTCTGGAAATCTTCTGTCATTACTGTGGACCAAATGAAAAGAGTAAGTATAGCGTTTAGGGAATTTTGGGTAAGGTCTTCCAAAATTTTGTATCGCTTTTACCTTCTTTAAAGTACGGTTTGTGGTTGACTGCCACTTTTAACTTCTCCATGGTTGTTCTGTATACCACAGAAATAATCTGTCATTGATACATGTACAATACTTGCCCTGTACTGGAAAAATTAGAACTGAATTCCAAGCAGCAGTTCTCTGTAGAACTGTGAGGTACAGAATCTTGGAATCTTCAGTCAAAGATTTTTCAAGTGTTTTTATGCAATTAAATGGTTATAACAAGTAATTTTACATGCCATAGTATTTTGTAGTAAAATGCTTAAATACAATTTTCCCTTTTATCCAGCAGTTCTTCATAATTACAGTAGTTCAGTGAGGACCCACTTAATTACGTCAGAAGTGTGTGTGTGTGTGTGTGTGTGTGTATATATACACACACACACACTTGGAATTCTAGGTATGAATACAGGACAGCAGTCCTGTCCCAGAGCAAACCAGGTACCACGCAGGCTTGTGTGAGAATTTACCCAGCCACACTGCTGGGGGAAGTGATAAAATCAGCTCTGGTTGTCACCAGTGTTTCCCTCACTGCATAAACTGTGGTGGTGGAAATTTGTGGCCACATTGTCTTTATTTACATGGAAGAAAAGTGAAGTCTTCTTCCTTATATTACTACTCATGCAACAGTGGCCGGGCCAGGCTAGCATACCCATTCTGTACTGTCTTGGATTTCTGACTTGTAAAGACAATAAAAGTTCAGCTGGTGGTTTTATGTACATAGGTGGCTGTGCAGTATCATGGTATTCCACTGACTTGCAGCTGCTCTGATTTAGGCTTCTTGAAACTGTCCATGGACCTATACTGAAAAATAAATCCTGAGAGTGCCAAAGGGTATTTGTGTAATCAAATCCTGGAAGAACCAGGTGATTATCTGAATTCTTACATTGCAGGGCTATGAACGAGTTTACTGTGAAATCCCAGATATCAACCTGGATGTGCCACACTCCTATTCTGTGCTTGAGCGGTTTGTAGAGGAATGCTTTCAGGCTGGAATAATCCCCAAACCACTAAGAGACCTCTGTCCTTCAAGGTACTTGTTTTACTGTAGATGGGTGAAAGCACTGCTTTTTGTCCCCACTGCAGGTAACAGAAAGCAGGATTTTATGATCAAAGTATTACAGATTGATACTGGAAACTATGGCAGACAGAGACCCAGAGGGCTGGACTGGTAAAAAGTTTATTAAGATGTTATGGGATAAGTAGTTGAAGAAAATAAGCCTCCAATGAGTCTGTTGCAGGCCTGTGTGCTCTCCAGGGAATGAAGGCCTGCTTCTTCTCTGTTCTGCTGATCTGCTTGGTAGGGATCAGTGCAGTACTGAGATGGAAGCTTCAGGTGTCACAACGATCCATGTTGTTGACAGTGAAAAACTGTGAGCTATAGTGGGGAAAGGAAATAATTAAAAATTGGTTTAAACTCACCAAACGGCATGAATAGTTTTAAGACAAGACCATTAATAATGTTTATGTCAAAGGTATAGAACGCTTAATCTGGAAAAAGCTGTACAATCTGATGCCTTCCTGTCTCTCCTGTGGTTTGCACAGTGCTTCTGGGTTGTTGTTTTCTTATCTGTAGTATAAATAATGCTGTTTGAAGTGTAACTGATCAGTATTCTGTTCCCTCCTTACTGGTCACATAGCCCTTCTGAGTTTCATTTCATGTGGGGAATACATGCAAATTTTAAAATACGACGTTAAATCTATTACTCAAAACTTTATGCATCAGGAATACTATTTATTAGATATTTTCCTATTTGGATGTTTTGTTGGGCTTGTTAAACTATCCTGACAGTTTGAGGTAACTTCAGATTTTGAAATGTTGGTGTCTTTACCCAAACCAGCCTGTTTGTGGACTTCAGGCTGAAAATTGAGTTTATGAGTATTTTGGTACTGAATGTTTTGCAGGTTTGGGTTGTGGGAGGGTTGAAAGCACTGCAACAAAAGCTTCATTGTATTTCAGTTACCAGTAATACACTGGGGCGGGATGACATTTCTTGCTTATGTACTTCAGTTTGGGGTAGAAACAACATTCCCAGACTTTCAAACTTGGCATCTTTTGCAAGTGTCAACATTCAAAGCTGAGCAAAGTAGAAAGTACTTGACAATAGAAATTTTTGACAAGCTTCTCGCAAATAAACCTGGCTGCAAGATTCAGATGGATTTTAAGTAATTTATCGGTGATTAGGAATGTTAGGTAATACTGCTGGATGAGCAAGTCTTCCATTTGATGGCCTTCATCAGGGACTGTAGTGATAGGATAAGGGGAACTGAGTTCAAACTGAAACAGGGGAAGTTCAGGTTAGATATAAGGAAGAAGTTCTTTACTGTGAGGGTGGTGAGGCACTGGAATGGGTTGCTCAAGGAAGCTGTGAATGCTCCATCCCTGGCAGTGTTTAAGGCCAGGTTGGATAGAGCCTTGGGTGACATGGTCTAGTGTGAGGCATCCCTGCCCATAGCAGGTGGGTTGGAACTGGATGATCTTAAGGTCCTTTCCAATCCAAACCATTCTGTTATTCTATGACCAAGAGAAGATTCTTAGATAATTGTGATAAGAACAAAGCAGCGATACTACTGTGAACTAAAATCATACTTTCTCTTTTCTTGCAGGGGCAGAAAGCGTTTTGTGAGTGAAGGAGACGGAGGTCGTCTTAAGCTGGAGAGCTACTGAATGTGAGAACCAGCTCCTGAAGCCTTAAATGTTGAAAGGGAAATAGGTATCTATATATATATATATGCAAACACGCATGCTTTTCTGGTGTGTGTATGTATATATGTATACACATATATAATGTACCAAATTTAAGAGTTGCTTAGCACAGTTCATATTTTTTTAAAAGCACATGTTTTGGGTACAATCTTTTTCTTTTCCTCAATAGTTTTATAAATTTCAGAAAGAAAAGAATTTCTTTCTTTGGGCATCTGGTAGAACAACTGGCCACTGCTGTGGTGGTGCCTTCCAATAAGCTATCGTTTCAAGTGCCATATGTGTATGACCTAATCATTCCACATCTGCATCCATGTCTGACTGCAGCTCGCTCTTTCAAGGACAGTGTTGTCACCATAAAATCACTGTTTATACAAAGCTTTATAGAAGGGTCAAGTTAAGCTGCTGTGATCCCATTTCCATTGCTGCTGAAGAAATACTGTGCTTTGGGAGAAAAAAAAAAGCTGTTTCTTTGTTTTAAAGAGCCCAAGAAAATGGAGTTGGGTCATAAGAGAATGCATCTGTTCCAGGGGAGAACACTGGTTGGTTTTAGCCCCTGTGTACCAAACTTGTCTTTTTTTTTTTTTTCTATGTAACTGGAAAAGTGAAAAGTTCTGGTAAAACATATTAAAAATATTTTTTGTGATGCTGTTTTTCCTGCCTCCTTTGATTTTCAAAACGGAACAAGTGTAACTGTACATTCTGAAGTGTGTGCAAGTGAGCTGTGCATCTAACTGTGCCCTTTTCTATGACAATGACAACCTGCAGCAGAGCACCAACTAATTCAACTCATGGAAAGTATTTACCAAGTATGTTGTTGAGAAAAGTGGCTGGGGAGGAGAAGTCAGGCTGGTGCAGCAGAGATGCTCTGGTGTGTGTGTATTGCCAACGTGCCTCTGCCCAGCCTCTGCTCAAGAACAAGACCGAGCCAAGGAAGACTTTACATCGGCAGCGCAGAGCCCCTCCTGCTCCCGTACATGTTTTCACGTTGGTGCCACGACTCCGGGTGCTCAGCAACACCGGGACCTGCCGTGGCAGGGCCGGAGAGACGAGTGCCGCCGCTCCCGAGCCAGCCCAGTAAGCCATTACCGGAGCCATGGGGTGGTGTAACGGCCCTCCCTCCCCACCTTATCCGCCCGGGCGTAGCGCTGCGCCTGCCGGGGCTATGATGCCCGTCGGAGCTGGCGAGCCCAGAAAGCGGTAAGTGAAGCTTCCACAGGAGGAACGCCGGGGCACGGGTCGCCGCCTCCCCGCTCCAGCAGCACCCCTCACTCTGGGCCAGCCTTTAATCCGCGAGCTCCGTTACAAGCGCGTACCTCCGAGTCACGGACACCTCAGGGCACCGGCCCCCTCCCTGGGGCCTGGGCTACGGCTGGGGCTGAGGCTGCGGTGCCTGCTCAGCCTGCCGCGCCGCTGCCTCCAGCGCTGCCCGCTGCAGCGCCTCCAGCTTCTCCAGCGACACCGACTTGAGCGGCAGCACCTTGGGCTTGCACAGCACCATGGAGGCCGTGTCCTCCACCGACAGCTGCCCTGCGAGGGGAGAGAAGGGCTGGGGGTGAGCGCCGGGGCCGGGCCGGCTGCGGGGACCCTCCCGGCCGCTGCACGTACCTTGCTTGGGCAGCACCTCTTGGAACGCAGCCTTCACCTCCGGCATGGCGGCTCCCTCTGCGCACGCGCGCTGCTGTGGCAGGCAGAACTACAGCTCCCGGCATGCATTGCGCGGCGACCCCGTGGTCAGACTGCCTACGGGGCCCCAGCGCATGCTGGGAGCTGTAGTCTTGGGGCGGGTGCTGGCCGCCACCGCCGCACCACCCGCCGTAGGGACGGGCGGGCAGCGGGACGCGGAGCGCGGCTGACCCGGGGCGGGGGCGCGGGCGCGGGGCGGCCGGGCCGGGGCCCCTCGGTGGAGCGGCGTGCTGCAACCTGCGCGGGCCTGCCCGCTCTCGCTGCCTGCCGCTGCCTCCCCGCCCCGCCGGGCCTGCGCCTCAGAGCGGACACCGTCCATCGACCGGCTGGGCCAGGGCGTGCGGGTTCTGCTTTGCGTTGCAAGGCAGCGCCCGGGGATGTGAGGCGTGAATCATCCTGCTGTTCAGCATGTAAACAGTAGTAAAAGCCGGCGTCTTTCAAACACCGAGGGTTTAAATGTCGCCGAGCCTGCTCAGCCAGTGCACCTGTGATCCCCTCCACCGCCACCGGGCTCGCCTTTGGAGGTCATTTGCTGGTGGCAGCAGTTCCCTCAGAATAACCGGCCCAGGGTCGGTGGAGGAAGGTTCACTGCCTGTGCACAGCACCCGGGTGTGCTGTAGTTTCAGACGTTGCTGATGCCCTGCACACATTGCCTGCCTCGTGCCCTTTGCTTCAGAACTGGCAGTAAAGGTTCATAATCCTGCTAACGCAGCCGCAGCAGGCTGTAGCAATTCCTCGCTTGTTCCCACGTTGAGAGCTTCCTTCTTACTACTGCACTGCGACTGGTTGTGGATGGGTAAAATGAGGGAGACCGTGGCTGTTGCTGATCAATGACGGTGGTTTTGCTCTCTCGGGCACTACCACACTGTGGACCCACCAGCTATGGGATCCAAGCCTGCCTTTTGCCAAGAGACCTGTGGTAAAACTCCCAGCTTCCAGTAAGCGGCACCTCTCTGATAGTTATTTAAAGCATCCTCCTGCCATTGTTCCAGAACTATTTCCTTTTTCCTCTGAGGAAAACCTAGGGTAGGAAACTGACAGTCCCTCAGGTAGCCTGCTTCCACCTCACTCCAAGTCTCACCTGCCTGTTGGGTTGGAGGCCAGCAGAGAACCTGCAGAGGGTGGAAGCACATCTCCTGTGTCCTGTCTGTTGTGTGGTCAGCAAGGACAACACTTGTGCTTCGGGCCACTTTGTTGTGATTCACATTTTCTGCTTTCAGGTCAGAAATAAAATGGACGTCCTTGCTGGGAACAGCCTTCTCTACCCTTTGAAGTGCATAGGAGAATTCCCACTGATTTCAATGGGAAAAGCTCTTTTGTCTGGCATGCTAATCTGTCTGCCAATTAGTATTTCATACTGATTGGAAGGGAAAAGGCTACGGACTGATTTGTGAACACTGTGGATGTTTGCTCGTAAACAGTGTGTGCAAATTGAAAATCAGTTATTTGGCAGTTGTTTCTTTGTTTGATCCAGCATCTTATATATGGCTGTGCCTAAAAATGAACTGAAAAGCCAGTTATGACTGAAAATCTTGCACTTGCACAGTTATTCCTGTATTAACAAGCATGGCCTGCAGAGCAACAGAAGGTGGACTGAAAGCAAGGCATTGAAATCAGATTGTACGCAAGGGTTTTTGACAGTGTCCTGATGACCCCCTAGAGTCCAGCATCATGTGAGGATTGGTGTCTATAGCAGTCAGAGCTCATCTCAGTCATGCAAGGAATCACTTTCCAAGGACAGTTTTCCTGCCAATGGAGTTTGTTTGCTTGGTGGTGAGAAACAATGGTCAACTCAGTTTGTTACTTGAGCATTTTAGTGACCAAGAAGTAGAACCTGGCATTGTGTGCTGAACCCATCTTCTTAGCTAGGCAAATGCCAACTTGGCAAGCCTGTCTGGAAAGCTGATAGCACTGGGACAGGTGTGATTGTGGAGATTGGTTTTGACAGTCTCTAGTAAGTCTGCTTTTAAGGCACCTCTTTCCATTGGAAAAGAAAGCATAGTCACCACCTTCAGGACTGGAAGGACTGGATGAGAGAGGCAATGGCATTGTCTGCAGCTTCATATCCTTAAAGACAGGAATGGTTTGGCTTTGAGTAAGGCTGTTATTTATTCACTAGGGTGGTGCTAGCTATAGTTCAGAGGAGGGGAATGTGTAGCATTGAGGACCTAATTCCCCTTCCTAAAGCCCTGAGACTTCAACTTTGGATAAACCCTAGTGTTACTTGGCAAAGCATGAGAGCGGTACCCACAGAGAGGACCACGTGCTCTAGGTTGTGTATCCTTATTTTACTGAAGTCATAAACAAGTTATTCTTGTACACTGCAGAAAGCCTTGCAACCACAAACCCAGCAATAACTTCATAAATGATAAGCTTGTTTTCCTCCCCCTCTTCCCAGATACCCCGAGTGCAGCAGACAGCAGAGATGTGCATTGCTGGAATCCAGAGAGTTTCATAACGTGGCAGCTGCTTGCTGAAAGCCCTGCAGATACAAAACAACGCTTACTTTAAGTCTTGGGAAACATCTCCTACTAAGTAGAAGAAAAAAGCATTTAGGTGAAGCAATGTTGCCGGTCCCAGCTGTTTATGAGGCTTGGGTTCTGTCTTTATGCATTTTAAATGCTTTTTGTTTTCATTCTGCTTTTTGAGCCTTTCAAGTGCATGTTTTCCATTTCTTTTCCATCTGAGAAGAAAGTCTGGAATCAAGTCCTTGCTTTAAAAACAAAAATCTGGTTCAGAGTCCCGTATAATCATGTAGGTCCAGACATGGGGTGTTTAAAAATAAAGCCACTTTCATGAGAATCACCCATCTTGAAGGTGACTTTCTGTTCTGAGTTTAAGTAAATACTCTGTTGGCAGTTTAAGAAGTTTTTAACAACATCTGATCTGCATTTACTTTCCAGGCAGATCTCTCTCTTTTTCCTTCTTTCCTAAAAATTCAGAGCTTGTTTCATGTCTGTATGTGCTGAGATGGTCAGAAATGTAGTGTACCAGCATGCCTGTGATGTGTGTTGAATAATGCATACCAGTGCTTTCAAAAATACACATGCAGGTTGCATGCAATTGTCCCCTTAAGCTGCTGAGTGGTACCATGAGATACAGAGCCCATCTTCTGTGGAGACAGGAGGTGGAGGTGGTTTGTGTTTACTGGGTGGGGTAAGGTGGAGAACAGAAAGCCTGAGGGAATCCCAAATGCCTTCAAGGCCTGGAGCTTGACATCCTGATGTTTAACCCAGTCCTCTTTTTGGAAGGGAGTTGACAGATGAGTGATTTCTTTTAGTTGAGCTTTACGAATCTATTTATTTTAAATCTGTTGTCTGATGCAGTGGTGTCTTCAAGCTGTACTCACAAGGCAAGAAGGAGACGTCCTTATTCAGTGTGGAGATTTATCTTTCACTGCTACTTACATAAAAGTGCCTGGAAATGTATTATCCAAGGGACACAGAAATAGCTTTTTGACATGCTGCTCTATCTCCAGCAGTAATGCCCGGTAAATGCAGAGACCTGGCTGCCTGGCTCATTGCTAAGTGTCAGTCCCGCCCTGGGCTCCCAAGCCAGATGCTCTATGCTGGCATTTCCAGGGGGTTACTGCTCTACTTGTGTGGTTTGAATCGCTGAAGTCTTTGGCCTTGTGCCTTAAAGTGCCAGCAGAGGCATGCTGTAATTGCCCGTAAATGCACCGTCTGTCATATTATTGTTTCATTACTCCAGCTACTCACTGCCACACACTGCTCAGTGTCTCTCTTGCTATCTTTATTTAATTGAGCAGAAAAAATCTGAGACTTGTGCTTCACTTACGTCACTTTGTATTTATCCAGCATCACTGGATCCTACTATAAAGTCCCAGCTTTTGTTTGCAGAAGTCAGTCTTCTGTATAGAAAAGATAATGTCAATATCTAAAGCATATGTTAGAAAGAGAATCAATATTTTAACACATGGTAAAGTCAGACCATAAATCTCTCAACACAGTCAAGTGATTGTATTATTTGCCCTTGAAACACCGCTCCTCCCTCTGGGAAACGAGGGGGAAAGAAAACTCTTGAATAACCAAGCCCTTGTCCTCACAATGCAGGACTGTTCTGAGCTCCTCGCTCTGTGTCGCTTCTTTCTTTTCTGTCTACTAACTCTCTTCTCTTGTGTGTCAGACGCCTGCCTCTTAGAGACCTGTCTGTCCCTATCCCATCCCTGTTCATCTCTTTCAGAGCATAAGTGGGATGGAACCAGTCTCTCCCTATCCCATCACTGTTCATCTTGTTCAGAGGATTACTGGGATATCAGCTCTTCCTTGAGATCAGCTCATGAGGACCAGTTCCACTGCCTACTTGTTGCCATTTCAAACAGCCCTAAGCTTCCTCCCAGGCTTGCAGCTGAACCCTTACTGATGTGTGTTTTAAAAATACTCTTCCAGAGCTCTCTCCAAAGCTCTCCTTGTCTGTATGGCCTATAAAAAAACTCAGCAGCACACTGACTGCTTTTCTTTCCTCATGCTCCCTGCATCTGTGACAAATGTATGTCATTTTCCTGGTCTTCCATTTAGCTTTCAGTCTCTGAATCAGAACACAGCACCCCGCACACAGGATCAAGATCGAGGCTCCTGTGCACTGCCACAGCAATAATGAATATCAGGGTGGCTCGCACTCATTCTGCTCTGTAGTTTTCATTGCTCTCGGCTGAGGGAGTTTCATGATGTCCTTTTGGAATATGGTTGTGCACCTGAATTATTTTGTTTTCAGGGTTTTTTGTATTTCAGAAATCCTCAACTAACATTTTCCTTTACAGGTGTACTCCTCCTGGTAGCGCCTGATAGAACCAGCACCATTGTTGGGGTTGTTGTTCTCACTTCCCATAGCTGAACAATAAGATTACTCATTTCATACTGTTTTCTGGTTTGTTTTATTTTTCATCCATCTCTTTCCTGCAGGAAAGAGCAATTTATATAATGATTTCACTGTGGAATTGACTTCAGGCTTTACTGCTATTTGTCACCATTTAGGAAATCCATCCCTGGCTCCAGGAGAACACTCAATTCCTGCTGACAGTCTGGAATAGGGAGGGAAAATAGATAGCAGAGCTGCAGCTATTGAGACCAACAGGCAGATATTTTATTCCACCTCAATTTTCCCTTTCCAAATTACTTCTAAAGATTTTTTTCCTCTTTGTGAGAATGCAAATGAGGGTTGGTTCTTTGTTTGTTTTCCTGGGACCTCTCCTATTCATCTTCTTCCACATTTCAGGCAGTGGAGCTTGCAGCAGTGACAAGATGTAATCCCAGGTAAAACTGCTTCTGCCCATAGCCTTGGTTAACCTGCTGGCAATAGTACTTGCCTGGGCATGGGGCAGCTGGCTTTTTCACACAGCTCAGCATGGATGTGCTGCCACTCCCAGTCACTTTTAGGACACAGATGAGTGGAATTGTAATAAAGTTGTTCTGCCTTTCTGAGGCTACCAATGCCAGGGACCTTACTCTTCCTTGGCAACTGCTGGAGCCTCCTTCCTTCAGCTTCACACCTTTATCAGCTAAAAACGGTAACAGTACGGAACTGGTTGTCTTCAGGCTCTCTCTTTAAGGGACTGGCTACACTGCTACCCTGTTGTGGCTTTTGAGGACTGGAAGATCAGAGAGGACAGTGGGGAAGTAGAAGGCTGCTCCCTCTTTTATGCGGGCTGGAGGTAGGCTATGCCCTTGTTCAGCAGAGAAAAACTTGGGCTCCGCTTGCATTCCTACATACCGTGCCATACCAGTCAGCCTGGTACTAATCTTCCATGGACCTTTGAAGGCATGAAACAACATGCAGTGTAAACGAAACCCAAGCCACACCATACCAGATCATTGGTGCCAGCCAGTTTTAGAAGGCTGTCTTGTACCACCTGCAGGCATGCAGATCTGCAGTGCTCACACAGCATCGGAGTCCAACAGCAATGTGTGGCATGTAAAAGGCTGGTGAACCCACAGCCACTTAGGATTGAATGCACTTTCCTGGGGAGGAAGTGGCTTTTCCCTTGGAAAGCTCAACTCCCCAGGGCCTGCGTGAGGTCAATGGAAAAAGTGATCTCTTCAGAATACGATTCATAGTGCCTAAGCACAGGCTTATCTTATTGACTGCAGAGGAAGCTTAACCTCTGTAGAGTTAAACCAGCTTTTGTGAATACCCATCCCCTCTTGCTCCTTAACTGTGGGAGTTATGCTAGTCCTGGGCATGGTTAGTCCTTAGTAAGGCACACTGCCTCTGGAAATTCAGGTGCTACACACCCTAGCTAAGAGAAGCTTGTGCACCACAGAGTACAGAATGTCCTGTTGCATCCTGCTTTGTCACTTCGAGTTACTCTGGGATGTCAAAAAAGGATTTTCAATGAAATGGAGTCAAGAAAGGTTAGTTTCTTTAGGGATGGCCTGGCTGTAATCAGCATCTGTTTCAGCTTAGCTGAGTTTTTCATTCCAGCCTTTCTTTCTTTTCAAAGTACAGACAACTGAAGCCTTTAATTTGCCCTGTCTTTCACTGCAGAGAAAAGTAGGAGTTTCTAACAGCTGATACTATCCTGTCTAGAATATCTACACTAAAAAAGTACAGTTTATTTTCTGCTGTGAACGAAAAAGCTCTTACTTGTTTCTGTTGTTTGTAGTGTTGACTTTGAAAGATAAATTGTTTGAACTGGTTGACTCTCTGTTTGTGTAATTGAAGATTAGCTTGCTTGATAGCCTGCTGGATTTGCAGTTTTCCCTTGCACTAGATAAACTGCAGAGCTGCCGGCCCTGGGGCAGTTAGGACACAGCACATATTTGAAAGCTTTGTGTACATACAAGTAAAGAAGAGAAAATCATGTTATGTGTGGCATTCTGGATGTGCTGTCTCAGTATTGCTATGTCCTGTCTTTCCACCTGCAAGAGCTCCTGTAAGACCTAGGAAGTCTGTTGAAAAACTTGCTAACAAGCCTCATAGACAGAGATAGGTGGCTAATGAGTTCAAAGTTGAAGCTGTCAGGACCAGAACTGTTTTTACATGGTAGTTTTACAACCCTAAATCATGCTGCTTGGTTTTAAGAACACAGGTACCTTAATCAAATGTTGTCCTTTTATCATTGCATTTGCTTTCTAGAACCAACTGGAGGAAAAAGTGAAAGTAGATTCATGTCACTCAAGTAAGCAGACCTGGCTCTGAAGGCGTAAAAGGAACAGACAGTAAAAATAGCAACATCTTACTGTACTGTAGCCCCTCAACAGCGAACCACATTTTAAGGTTCCCCTTCTTTGCATCCTTCTTTGTATTGCAGCAGCATATTGCACCAAGCAGCAGCTTTTGCTCTGGTGGGGCAGTGTCTGTTTTCAATGCGATCGCTCTTGCTGTCAGCCGTGCTGTTGGAGTATTGGCTTCTAGGCACTGACATGGCTCTGAAAGCCTGTGTGCATCCTCCAGGTATGGTGTCTGTGCCAGGAGCCCTCTCTCTCTCCCCTTCAGCTCCTGAGTTGTGCCAACTATTCCAGCTTTCCCAGTTTTTGTATATTCATAATAGTAACAGTGGAGCCAAGGTGACATTCAAGGGGAAGGTAAAAAAGCAGTGACAAAGGCAAACACTGTTTTCCTGATTTCCTGATGCTCATAAAATGAAATGGGCTTTCTTGTGCTATCAGCCTTGAAAGCATGTTTCTTTCCCCCAGAACGACTAAACCTGTTGCAGCCCTTGGCTAAGAGACTGAAGCCAAACTTCTGGTAAACTGATGACTCAAGAGAAGGGAAAGAAAGAGGATAGGGCAGGAAGGTCTGGGTCGATTAAGGTGTAGATGACAGGAAGATAAAGCCTAGGACTG